AATGTTGTTTCCAACCTTGTTCCATAATAGAGAAGACTGTGACTAGTAAACTATAAGAAGTAGATCAGTAAACAGAATCTATGTAAAAAACAATAAAGACATATGTAGATGTGTCTGAGGCTACAAATGTTTGTAACCTCCATTTGATGTTATAAATGTTTTGAAACATTCTTCAATTGGTTAGTTAATACAATTTTTCTTTCTGATTGATCAACTAAATATTTCGAAGTATTTGTAGCATTAAGTAGATCGCACTTTGAATATCCAGAGATTATCGTTTATTACACCCGTCCGATATCTTGACTTTATATCATCGTAATCTGCGTTTCATTGATGAATGATTAACATCCTTGTTTAATTATATTATATATATTATATATATTGTTTATCGTGAGATGACAATCGTTTTGAACAAGTGCACGAATTGCTGCGATGATTTTGTTGATATACGCGGCCTATCGCTTCGAGACTCATCGTGATTTTCCATGCGATCGTTAATAAACTCTGATCGCCATCGTCGAACCATTTTCACGCTCGAGCATTATTCTCCATATACAGAAATTATTTGACGATGAATATTTATTGCACTTTCGTTTTTTGCCATCATAAACTGAATATCGCACATAATTCACAGACGGATGTTTTTGCCTCCATTCAGATTTGTTCACCTAACAAACTGGTATAGATTTCATTTTTTTGATAAGTTTTTTAATTTTATCCATAAAAATTTAAAACTAAAAAGTTGGCTAACTCTAATCTTCCCTATAATATAATGTCCCTATATAATGCACAATTAATGGGAATTCCCAATAATGCTAAATCTTACACAGAAAAGCCAATTTTGCTGAAGTATCTGAAAATTTAATTAGATATAAATTTAACAAATGTTTTGGGCAAAATAATTCAGTACTTAGAATGCTTGAACTAATCGTTAAAATATCAAAATTTTTTGTAACATCCAAATTTTTTGCTCATTATGCTTGAGATTGCTACGTAATTATTATATGTTTTGATGATCCAACAAAATTATTTTCAGATCTGTATCTAGTTAAATTTTTAAATTTGTCAGCAAAATTGTCCTTTTCATACATAAATCTTATTAAAAGTACGCTAAAGCAAAGAAGAAGTAATATAAATGTAATTTTAATAAAACAAAGTTAAAGAGACATTATTAAAAAAAATGAACGTATATATTTACATATTATTTCTGTACGACCAATGTTTACCAAAACGTAATCTGGATTGGAAATCAACCATTATTTATGCATCAGCATAAATAAATAATAATATAACTTTTTAATGAGAAGATATTCTTTATCCTAAAGCCACAACGTTGAAATGTTTCCGCTTTTGCAAGGTAAGCAGGGAGGAAATGCAAATTTTTCTGTTCAGAGAGGCGATTTCCCGTCTAAAGTAAAACGAGAGTACTTTACCGCATAATTTTTTGCCCATTTTGTTGATTTATAGTCCTGTGTCGACTTCATTGCTAGTCGATTTTCCTCGAAGCTGGTACATAAATGAAGTCCGGTTATACCTATTACTTACGATCGATTTCTATCTCTTTTAACTGTATATTTGTTATAATTAAGATAATAATAAGGAAAAATTGAAGGAATACCCACGGAATGCAGATGATGAAAGATGTTATACATTCAAAATATCGCTTATCTTAATTTAAAAATAAATCATTCATATGTCTTAAAAGTTATAATCTAACAATTTTTTCGTAAATTACTGGAACTATATTTATCTCTGCAAATTTTTTTATCCTTAAATGCTTTTTCGATATGGCATACTCGACTTTTTTCAATGTTTTTCCGATATTTTTTCTATTATTTATAACTTTTTTTATTAATATAGATATATATATATGTTTGTTTGGTGTCGTTATGTTCCTTAATATTCGGTATTTTAAGTGAAACATTTTTTTACAATATGTTCAATTTTTATGGAATGTACAAGCAATCAAAGTAAGTTGGGGCAGAACTCCAGCGCATGCAATATTTATGACGTTACAAAATTACACAAAATTTATTTCCAATTAATTATTAAATATGTCACTATGTATATATATATTATATATATATATATATGTATATTTATATGCCGTACACCAGTATGTATTCCCGTAACGTTTAAGGGTTAATTGGAAATAAATTCTGTGTAATTCTGACATTTTATGTCTCCAATATTGGATGTGCTCGCATTATCTTTTGTAATATAAAAATAATTGTAAATAAATAACGGTAATTAACATAATCAACACAGATGGTAGCATAAAAAACTAGACAGCACAAAGAGTTTTATCATATGCGACCAGGGAGTTTCATCACATTCGATTTGATGGTGAGTGAATGGTAGCGCTCGAGGTGATTCCATGCATTCCCTCTATTTACTGCAGGTGTACGCTTTCCTACGACTCGAGCACACACGATACAAGCCGGGAACATGTATATAAACGCGATAAATCGCCGACACGCGTTCGTCGACCGTGTGTGAAACTCCTGCTCGGATCGCTCGTCGAGTAGATCCGTCACGAATGCAGACGCCCACAGCGATGCATGAAGTGCATCGTGGTGCCGGTTGCACTCGTATTTTACGAAGTTTGCCGGTGCTTCGTCTACGTCATTTTTTCCTCGGGGTTCGCGCGCCGGAAGAGTGGAAATCGTCTCTCTGCGGAATGAGTTCCTGATACGGCCGAGCGGTCGGTAGATTTAGACGATTTGCGATCTACTGGAGGAAGGTGAAATAGAGGAATGGTAATTTATTGTCTTCCACGTACGGAGTGTATTGCGGCATATGTAGTGTGATCATTAAGAGTTTAGTTCCTATTAAAGTAATGAGATTTGAATGTAATATGTAGGCTGCATGATGAATCATTCCGCTAATGAAGAGAGAATATCGAGAATATGAGTAATTGATCAGCGATCAATTGAATTAATCGCGAATATATAATTGCTTCTCTTTAATATATTTTTGGCGAATTAAATGTTGTGCTTTTATCTGAAGGAATTTACTCATATAGTTAATATATACGTATTTCACGTACGCTTATTAATATTCTCATAACTTGAAGAACAATGTATAATAAAATTTGTAATTTTGAAATATTTTATTTCGTTATCAAATATGCGTAGAATTATTTCATTATATTTCAAACATTGAAATAGCAATTTTCAGTTGAATTTTTTTTTTAATTTTTGTTTTAATTTTAATTGAGTTGATATTACACAGAAGTAGGAACATAAAATATGATCTTTCTTTTTCTAAAATAAAACAATTATTTAAAGATAAAACATTATTATACATGTAAATAATTATTAACAATATGGAACAAATTTAGACGGATAAAAATAAATCTAATTAAATGAGAGAAATTCTATATTCGATCGAACCTTGCAGAATCAGAATAGTAATATCACTTAGTGAATTGCAATTTAATAATTTTAATAATTTTTTAAATGCTAATAAGCATCTTTTACAAGAATATTAATCGTTATATGTTAATGATAATCTAAAAATTATCATATAATAAATTCTAATTCTAATATTTAAACCAATTCCAATATTTATAAATTGCTGAAAGCAAATATTCAATTGTTTCGTATTTTTTATCATTGCAATGTTTAACATCAAGTGGAAAGTCACTCTCTGGAAGTGTTTAGACGTCAAATCCATTGAAGAGCATCCTCCAAAGCAATCGCTTGGTCCGTTTTCTAGCACATACCGACACGCAAAACCACGTTCTCCCAACATGAATTCACGCTCGAAGTCTCGCCACTCGACTTCTGTCGCTTTAAGCCGGATCGAGCCGACGTTCCTGAACCGAGAGGCAAGATCACTACTTATCTACGATCTAGCTATTCTGTGGATCAGCTCGCGCGAATCCGAGAGTCGATGGTACGGTGGCTGTGCGCCGGTGGTTGGCGAGACATACAATGCCCCGGTATCTCCCACCCTCGACCGACGAGGGGATCCATCTAGCCACCAGCTAGGGGTTTCTTCCTCCATCCTCTTAACGCGACCATCAATGTGCCTTAGTCGTTTGCAGAGCCCATCCCGGCTTTGGGCTCATCGTTATCTTAGCCGCGATAAGCCCCGCAGGAGAACAGATGACGACGAATATTTTTTCATCCGGGCAAATCTATTTAAAATTCTCATTCTATCTCTCGTGCGGCTGTAAATGACGTGAAGGTCTCACGCCATAGTAATTCCTTCTCGTAGCATGTTAATTTCCTATAAATCAACATCCGCGATTCACGCTCGCTTTCGTTCATTATCGCGACACACCTTTATTATTCTTTCGCAGTGAAAATACGCGCGATCAAATTGCGGTATCAGAATCTCATTTCGCGGTTAGACGACACTATCGTTGTTTCACTTTTTCCCCGCGGCGATATACCGTGGGAAATGAGGAGTCGATGCGATGCGCGACGGTGTTTCCGCTTGATGTGGAACATTACGACAAAGTCGATCTATCTCGAATGGATTGTGTTCGGACGAAAAGCCACGGATGAACAAGTTCATCTATCTATCTGTCTATCTTTCCCTGTAGCGGGATTACAAAAGAATTATCTAAACATGTATAAAACGTATAAAATATAATTACTAAATATTTATAAATATGAATATACATAGAAAAAACGGAATAGAGTCATCCGAAAGAGACAATTTTACTGACAATGAGTATTATAATGGAAAATTAAATAACATTGTAAATATGTTCATTAATGGAATACCATGTTAAAATATATATCTTCATATTTCATATATATATAAATATTATATAAATATTATATATATATATATATATATGATGAGAGATTTCTACAAAATTAATTATAAAAGATAAATGAATTATCTAATTTGCTTTATTATTGTCTTTTCCATCTGTCACTGTCGTTTTAATTAAAACGGTTTTTGGTTTTGGTTTATATTAATTAGATATGATTGTGTCACTCACGGAAAGTAAAGAAACTCGTTACTCCTGTGCATTTCAGAATTTCCATGGAATAGCTATTCACGATGACCAGTATGAAGTTTTTTCGCGTCATCCTAGCGCTCCTGGGAGGCTCGCAGGCTTTGTACGCACAACCATCGGCGTCTCCAACTGTGAAAACCGGTGAGTAGCTGCCTTCACAATGGACTTGATTACTACTGCGTTATACCGCACATTCATTCGTCCGCTGATCTCTTCTGTCGTTGAGATCGAAAGTGCTATTAGTTTTCTTGTTTGCAACCTAATTCAATAAATGCGCATTTTTACCTTTATTAACGGTGATTTTTAACGAGATAGTATACAGAATATTGCATGAGATATTATTACAGTGGAAATAATGCATTGTTATAACATTATATCTATCGTTAGAGGAATACACGCTATTATATCAGAAATTAAATCTTTTACGTCGAATTGTAGCAGCATCCACGTACTTGTTCACTTTTTCGTGATTATTAATGGACCCAATTCGCGCAATGTTACATAACCCATCATTCTTTATCAATTAAATAATTTGAATCAATTAAAGAAGTTTGTGCATTTATAACGTCGGTGAAATTAATAAACAATTTACAGCTGTAATAGAGATTTTGATATTTTCAAGGCTTTTCATACAGCACTGTGTACCGTAAATAATAATCATAAAACAACAACTATTTACCGCATACATGCCGAAAAATTTTATTATTCTAAAATCAATTAAATAATAAATAAATTTTTAATTTCTCTATATACACACTTTTACAGTACTTTTTGATGAGAAAAAATACAATAAAAACTACAAGAAATTCTCAATGTATGTGCGATCTCAAGATTTAATAAAATTGCAATAACTCATGAGAGATTTTCATTCTGTTTTTATAAAGATGAGAAGATGCTCTTGTCAGCTCCGTTTTGTTTCTAATAATCATTGTAGAGTGGAATTATCATGCAAATGAAAGCGTAGCGTAATGGGACTGTATGTAATTAACGAGTATCCTAGCCTTTCACTGAAGTCGAGAAATGGTAGCAATAAAATATTCGCGAAAGTAACGAATAGAACCAGACAGTAGGCGAATGAGCCCGTCCAAGAGAGTGACGAGTAATGCGTATGCACTGTTCCGAAAGATAGGATGTCTTTTTGCCACAATTTTCTCATTGAATTACTTTTCCATTTGTCAGAGTACAAGAAAGTAAATTACAATTCATGAGATGAAATAAAATCAATAATTAAGATTCTTTTTGATGCTTTATATAAATAAACTCTTCGTTCTGTTTAAATTCTATATATATAACTTTGCATTAATTATATATATCGTATTAGTTACATTTGATTAAACAAAATTAGTATATATTAAATACCTAATACAGGCTTTTTATAGAAGAGAAATATTTTATTTTAATTTAAATTATATATACAAAACTGTTTTATAGATTAAATTTATTATTGTGCTATTTTAATTAATAATAACGAGGAAACAGCTTTCCTCCCATTTCAACCTAGATAGCCCCTTTCCAATTATTCTGAATTCGTTGCTTTAATTATTCAGTTTAATTTACGCAAAATACTATTCATAATTGTATGCAATTAATCGACGTTTCAAAATGTGAGATGATATAAATGATTTAACTTTTCGCTAAATTTTGTATGATCATAAAACTGAACTAAGAGCAATCAATTCATAACTCTCACTGAATTTAATTCGACCATCGAATCCGCGATACGATGTTCTCGCATTTTTCCTGCTAGTCTCGGGAACGAATCGTGCTTTTAAGCGTAATTTTCATTCATTACTTATGAAACCATTAATTTCGCATTGAAAACCCGACATGTTTTTATTCGTGTGTGTTCCGTTTAAATCGCGTTTTTATCTCGAGGATTTTACATGGCTATATTATACAATGCTGTTCAATGTAGTTTTAACCACATATCTCCGGCTGATAAGCAGAGCATTTACGTTCCTTGATTTCTATCGCGCACACTTCAATTTGTGCTCGCAAACTGTGCGTAATCTGATTGATTCATCACTGCGAATCTGTGCACTTTATTTTTGTGAGCGACGTGTTCGGTGTTCATATCGGTTTCAATATGACTCTCCGCTCCGCCGCAGTGTTCCTTTTTCATACCAAAAGTTTGATGAAACGATCGATTCTCATTTGCTATTTCCCAACAGTGCAATTTTCGAGAAAAGGGTGGCTGAGATTTCGCCTGAACTGTTTGCCATAGTTTCATAACCGATAATAGACGAAGAACCTAACGTTATTATTCCACTAATATTACAGCATTCTAGAATTTATGCTGGCATCGATTACTCTGAACATTGTTGCTAATGTGTTTCATAAGTTCGAAGACGATACACGTGAGATACTACACAAATAATCGCAATTTAGAATTAATTAAGATTGCATTCAAGAATAAAAACCGGTGAATCTATAAACTATATTTTCTTATTTTATTATAAATTGTATATTATTTTTTATAATATATGAAATGAGTTTTCCATTATTTAATATTTAACAGATTGTTTAACTAAACTTTTTACGTTCAATTTCGAGCAGTTATAAAAATTATAGAGTTGCAGAAAAGATCTATAGAGAACTTTTGAAAAAAATATCTTATTTTTAGAAGTGTTATAAACTTCGCTTGCTAATATTATAAACTAGCTTCAACTTGCTAAGAGAACATCCATCAAGTAAAAAATGACTGCAGTAATATTGAAAGTGGCAGCGTCGTATCGATTCGTCCTACATAGGACGCAATTTTTGCAAAAATTGGTAGACCTCCCTATCGAGAGACCTGAAGAAAAGCTCGAGCATTAGGTGTGATTTAATAGTGTCGTTGTACCATAAGTTTGTTATAATGCATAAATTTTGCGTCATTATGAGGCTGTTCGCGATAATTGCGTCGCGTCGCGACCAACGACTTAAAAGGTCTTCTAGGGTAATTAATTATTATTGCTGACGAAGGGTGAAGATGGTGATAAACATAGCACACCTGCAGTTTGTTAACCAAGAGGCACACGAACAGGCTCTTGATATTGCCTCGAAGATTGAAGGAAGCTATAACGAGATCCTATATATATATATATATATATATATATATATATATACACTATGTTGTTAAATCGGTAACGGCATAATAACAGCGCTTATAAGCCAACGTCGACGTTCTGTTTTGCAATATAGAAATTTTTCCAATCCGGCCACATTCAGTTTATGTACTATCTTTTCTAGGCTATTAATTAAAACAGCAAATCGATTGACATAGTCAGTTGTTGATATCGAATTTTTTTATGATTTCTGTTATCGCAAACGATATTCTTTCGCTTATTTTTTATTCCGTTAAATATCGATATAGTATTCCATATTCGAACACAACAAACGTGGAATATATTTAACGTTGTGAATTTCAGTAAGTTGATGGTTTGTGTTTTAATGAATTAAACCTGATAGTTCGTATTAAATGGATTTTATGTTTAATATAAGATAACTCTCTCTGATTATTCCTTATAATAAAAAAACGATTATAATTACGATAATTTTTAATATTTTACTTTTTAGGATTCAATTATTTTACTGAGATATTATTGTATTACAATAAATATACAGGAAACAAATAGATGGTAAGAAATTTTACTCCTATATCTTTATTGAGAAACGATATTGCAGCGTATTTCAAAAATTTCTATGATGAATGAGATCATGTATAAGAAATTCCAGTAAATGTGATCGTTGTTTACGCTTCGTGCAGTCAGTATATCAAACGACCGATGACAGGAGGTCGGAATATTGCGCGGGTGTCTTTTTTTCTTGTCGACCGTGTCCGCGCCCTCTTACTCTTCTCGAGATTATACGTGATGGCGTGTATAATGCAGGTCGCACCAGCCTGACCCCGATATCCAGCGGTGGGGGTGCACGTAACAACCCCTTCCACCGACACCTCTACCAATCTCGGAACGCGATAAAAACTAAGATTACTGTGCAATGCAATCAACGGCGTGCCCAATGTTCTTTCAGATTAAAACACAGTTTGAGATTACCAGTCGAAACTATTGTTTTGCCAGGAGCCAGGTTCCGCAACCGAGATTGTGTCTCGATTACCGGATGCAAAACATGCGGCGACGTTTGAAGACCGACATCAAATGAGAAAAATCCGTTGCCGTTCGATTTTCTGTCGCGTACACTCCAATTGTATCTTCACGTTCGTGTATACGTATATGCATCATGTATTCTTTTGAGTATCAAAAATTCGACGTATGTCAGAAACGAAAGCTTTTTCTCTTTTTCATGTTGTGTCAGGGCAAAAGATTTTAAGAAAAATTGAAGAAATTCAATTGAATGAATTTTTATTGAATCTGATGTGAAAAATAAATGTAAAAAAATAAATTCCAATATTATATATCATAAATAAGATGTATGAAAAGTTAGATTCTAAATGAATTCGGATTTCTAATTTGTAATCTCTTATTTTCAACAAATTATTACAATATTTTACAACATAATTTATAATTTATGTATTATTGTGTTGTGAAATATTTGCCGAAATATTTCCGATTTTACCTGAAGTGTTTGCGGTTTGCGTTTGAATGAAGGGAAATTCCAAACAGCTGAAACAAGTTTAACAACTGTTGCGTTTGTTCAATGTTTGTTCAAGATCAAACAACGTTAAAATAAAAAGATTAAATATATACTTTTAATGCAAACAAGTAATGTTTAGAAAAGCCATACAAAAATCTAAAAAGTTGAAAATATAATTTTAAATCAGAATTTTTGGTGATTTTATGTTATTTTTAATTGTTTAAATATACTTTTTTTAAATTTTAATGTAGAGAGATAAACTATTAATTAATGAATTATTTAGATTTGTATTATGTATTACTGCATTAGACATTAAAAAAATTATTAAAAAAAACAAGCAATACATGTATATATATATATATTAAAAAACTTTATTTTCCAAAAAATTAATTTTGTTAGATTTATACAATAGCAAAATAATTTATCCAAATTTAAGCAAAATATTATATCCAAGAAAGTTACATCTACATTTTTAATTTTTTAAAGATGTTTGTAATTTTATTATTTATTAATCTATCAGTATTCTGTAGTTTAACAAATATTTAGACAAACATTTTAATGTAAAA